AGCGGTTTCATAACCCAGCTTGACTATCGGCTGTCTAAATAGTCTATATAGTTTGGGTCTCTGTGATTTGGAGCATGCAGTAATGTGTAATGCGGCTTTAGACAGCCGATAGTCAAGCTGGGTTATGAAACCGCTGAACCGGCAAAAACCAGAAACCTCACCCGGAACAAAAATGGGTCTTCTCTCCAGTTCCCGTTTGTATTACTAGAAATTATCATCTAAACTGCTACACACCATAAACTCATGAACTTACAACATTTAAAACGATCGGTACAAAACGGGTGGAACGTGATGAAGCGGAACGCAAATTTGTCAACCACCACTACCTGGTGAAAAAGGCGAAATCGCTCAGTGGTTAGGGCACAAATTTACTGACTGGAAGGTCCGTGATTCAACACCGACATTTGTATCTCGACTTCTCTTGTCTAGGCTTGGGCAACTTGGCAGTATCCCTTCCTTCGGGTAACATGGCAGTGAGGAATCGTATGGTTGTTACAGCTGAATGACTATATATATAACACAGGTTGCCGTGCTACCAGTTTACGCGCAGTTAATAAGTTAGTTTTTTCTTATACCCAAGCTCTATCGGTTGGACCCTTCCTGCGAGTAGCTTAATAATCCTTCCCATTAATAGTTGTACTCACACTTGAGTTTGCGAAATATTTTATGCTTGCTTGTAAGCTGCGTATCGAATCAATTTGAAAAGGGACGTGTTTCAGTTGTACTCACACTTGAGTTTGCGAAATACGTAAGCTTGTAAGCTGCGTATTGAATCAATTTGAAAAGGGACGTGTTTTATGCTCTTTTTAGATCCCACTTTGCATGATGCTAACATTGTGGGCCGCTGTCTTGGTCACATTTCCCCACCTGGCTCTTGCTGGCCCCACGGCACTCAGAGTGCTATACTTCATCTGGGTTTGCCTCCTCTGGCTTTCCTTGAGTGGCGTGTTTGCCATTATGCCATCGGCAACCGGGATACTGTTTGGACAATCGGGATTGGCAATCAATTACGGAATGATATTCAGTGCATTTGTAAGTCATTGATTCAAGCTGTCCCTTTTTCCGATTAATCAGTTGTGCAAAGTGACCGATTCCATTTGTTTTCTCCACACAGGCCGCTGGGAGTGTAATGTGTGGTCTCTTTGCCACGTTTCTTCCTTCCAAGGATGCCTATCTTTCCCAGTTTACCGGTTGCGCATGTGTTTGCCTATTCGGTAAGTAGGTTATTTTGTGCACACTGACTGCCATGGTGATGTGGATGTAGTACTCATGGCTCATTACCACGTGACACTTGATCAGCATGATCGCACTGCTTCTATGTGTTAGCTAGGTCCATGTTTTGTCAATTCGAATGATTTTATTTCTACACCTATCAGGCGTACACACTGATAACATTAGGAGGAACCTGTTTGAAGAACAGACACCTCCGTGGATAGGTCAGCTAGACCGTTTCTCCTCAAGTATTCTTGACTATCTAGATGCAGTCCAGACTGTTAATGTTGATCAGTGCTTTGCTATTGCTCTTTACCTTCAGCTCTGTTCACAACGATATGGATCGCGGACAGAAAAATGAGCCCAAAATTAGACATCTGTCATTGGTGTAGCACACGATGTGCTAGTTGGCGTGGGTCGGGCAAATGCGATGCAGATTCGCGGATGGAACTTGAACAAAGAGCCGTCTAAACTGGTAGCTCGCTCTTCCATTCTTCTCAGCCGGTTACGAAAATTAGGGACATGTTTTTTTGGAGATTAATGTTACATCACTTTCGCTGTCAATTTGAGCAAACACTATGTATTCGGCTGCTATGTTATGAGGTTACCAAGTACACAGCTTCGGTTTGTTCACTTGGTATCCTCGATTTTTAACATCACCGTAGCGTTTTCCAGATTCTTCAAGCTATAATTCAAGCTACTCGCTTATTTTGTGTCATTGCGTTTGAGACCGTAATTGTGAACTTTGTGCATAAATATATATGTGTATTCCGATTTGGGGAATTTTGATTGGTGGCACGGCCAAAAGATTGAATCCGCTGTAAAGTTCCATCCACGTAGCATACGGGCAATCTGTTCTTTCTGTGAATGTCAAAAACCAGCCAACCATCCGATCCTTGAAGATTGAAATGTCCCCATCAAAGAATTTGTACTTGAAAGCCTATGACACTGCCTGCTGGGGTCGCAACTTCAGACTGGTTACGTCAAACTTCTGATCAAGCGTAAAACCTATGAAGAAATTCATGTCTGATGTTCTGTGCATTGTACTTAGGCATGCCGCAGGATATGTACGAACTGTGAATACTAAAGTTGGAGTTGCGAGTATTGTGAGTGATACGTCTGCAATGTTGCGCGTGTTTTCCAGCGTTTATCTATAAAAATAAGACAGCATATTGGATGAGTAGAGCTCTACTGATAGTCATCACTTTCAAAACTGTGGATTCAATTTTTATTACTTTGGAGTCCGTTTTAGGGAATTTTAAAACCCACTTCTAAATCTCCCACAGGGAAGGCCGTTAGAAAACACACTAGCTAACTCTGGCAGTGACGACATTAATAAACCAAAGATAAAACGGCACGACGAGTATTATTTCAGCTGATTTCCTTTTCGCCAACTGTAGACAGAACCTACTGAACTATATGCTTTTGATCCTGGGAAAAACGAATCGCAACGGTATTGATCTTTTCACAGACGTTTTTGGTAAAAGTTGAAACACCTGTTGATATGGTAATAGTTCCCATCTGTGTACATTGAAAGGACCACTCAAAGACACTTCGAGTTTGCTCCCCAAATTGAAATGTGTCGTAACATGCACTTGAGATCAGCCAAATAAAGTACACTGTAGTTTGGTGGTCGCTCAAGAGGGGCGTGATCTAGATCCATTGATTGTGCAGCATTGGGTCAGCCTGAGACCAGAAACTCCGTGATCATCTTCCAGCCAAATTACACAAGAGCGATCACTAGCGTCATTTACATAAGAACCATGAAACAGCTCGATTTAACCAACTTACCAAGGTTCACCAACAAGCAAAACACAACGAAAAAATTAGGTTGCAGCCTCCGTTTTGACGGAAAATGTGGTGTGTGAATGTCGTTAACCCTGAAGCTGACTAAATTTGCCCCCCCCCCCACTGGAAGCAATAAGCAAAACTTTCAGAGATTCATAAAGCATCGATATTTAATGTCATCGTTCTCAAGTAATGTGATTTGTAAAGCATACTTTTCAACGTGATGTACCAATTAATTCACGATTAATCTTGATAATTTCTCTACTAGACTTAAATCTAGATGTGTACATACATTTCGGTTTATTTCTGTGGAGCGGTACGAGCCCTGACACATCGTAACAGGGCGTTCTGTGATAGAGCACTTGCAATGACATTGGATATTTCAAACAGATGACTGGAGTGATGGGTTTGTTGGCCCCAAGGTCATATCGATACAGCAGATTTGCGCTGACTGACCAACACGCTATTCAGAAGCAACTCCACGAGCTTTATGTGAGCAAATAGACAGATAGTTAAACCTCCCGTCAAAATCTCACAAGGCATTCGCAATGCTCTGTTTAACCATTTTCGAGGTTTTATCTCAGATTAACAATTTCCCCAAGGAGGATTTCTTTTTGTTGGAGGATTAGAATTATGATGAGGTCAGAAGACAACGCTCCTAACCGCTCTCACTTCAACATAGTGCCCTCGGTTTCGTTTTTGCTAAACACTTGCGTACGCTCAGATCTTGAATTCACATGCGGTTGGTAGAAACGTGTCACACCCGTTCACGTCTAAAAGGTCACACGTAAGCAAGTCAACGCTGGTTCTCACTTCACTCTCCGAGAGTTCAGACTCAGTATAAGTCATCATGCTTAGTGCTATCGGATCGACGAGCTTTCAGTAACGTCCGTGACTGATATACCAATCGCACCACGTGGTCACACTGATACCAGACGGGGGTCACCAAATAGTCTTCACTTTACAGATCATCACGTCATTTTAGATCGAGCCAGAAGAACTTATCTAACAGTGCGATGGAAGCGTGCGTTGCGCAACGGAAGAGCCGGAAGAGTGTCGAGTTTCATTACACGTACAAAGCACACAAAGAATTGTATTGGAGCTGGTCAAGCACCTTTCTATTCAGAGGCTGATCAGCGGCTCTCATGGTTTCCGTAGCGTATACAGCATGAGTGTGCCAATATCAGCTACAGCAATTAAAAGAAACATAACAGGGTTCCTGCATAACTTATGTAGCAAAGTTGCACAAAACTGTAGGGTGAATTGACTAAACTGAAGTAAGTTAGTGGCATAACCTCTGAATTCATTGGTGACTATTAAAGATCGAGACCTATTAGAAGTAACTCGCCTATCCCATTGAGCTCTGTGATCAAAAAGGATACATTTTGCCAGGTTTAAGTAGCGTGTTTGATATACTGCACAGGAATCGTTCGTACAAAAATAAAGTAGCAGTAGAACTAGCAGTCCCTCGAAAAGAACAACTTGGCTCTTCCGTAGTAGCGGTTGCCCTGGGAGGCATGAGCTCTGCGTATTGTCTTCAACTTACATTTAAGCAAGTAGTCCTGTGATGGACCATTTGAATGGTTGGTTTTAACAGCAGTTGCCATGTTCTGACAACAGTGTCCTGGTTAATGTATACCGAGTTGGGACAAATCACTAGGCCCAATCTTTGCTCATGTTAGGGCTCACCAGCAGTGTATACCCTTGGTTGCGTGGACCTCAAACTTTCGGAGAAAGCTTTTTATCAACGCACAGTCAGCGTACATCGAACGCGAGCATTTCACACTCGAGTTAATTATAAGGTGGGACACGAATCTATTCCAACAAATGATCCATTTGTCTTAATCGACCGCCCGAGTGTAAGGAATTCTCGGTCATCTGGTGCCATGGAACATTTGTAACCCCCAGTGAAATTGCCACCAATTATTTTTGTGGAATTTCAGGACTTGTACTGAAACGTCCCCCTCTTCTGGCGTCTCACAAGTCAAATGGCTTAGTTCCGGATTTGATTGAAAAATGGGAGATAGATGGTCCCCCGGCGGATGTGAGAGCAGGTTACTCCGATAGCAAAGTGTACGAAGGCCAACTCATATTTGAGATAGTAACTTTCACTCCTCGGCAGGTGTGACGATAGCACGTCCTCATTGGAAAAACGCTGTTATTTTAGACGCCAGTATTGGCGTGTCAGCCAGTAGTAGTAAACATCCCTAGAATAAGTCTTCCATACTCCAACTCATGACGAAGGAAACCATACAGCTGATGAGATTGGTACTACGAAATTCGCATAGGGCTCCAGAAGTGGATTAGAATATGTTGGAATTACCCTAAATTAAAGTACGGTTCCGAAACCTTACCCGAACCAAATCTGTTATCTCAAGCTGCCCAGGTACCCGGTCTCAATCAGCTATTTTCGGTCTTCATTCAAAAAGTGCAGCTTTGTTCATGAATTGTGCAACACTTCCTCAAAAAGACCATAAAGCACCCAGTTCCACAAGTTGCTGGCCATGAGTTGTAAACGGGGTTTCAGTAATTTTTCGAATACCTACTGACAAGCATGGGTACCAGACGGCTGGTCCAGTAGTGCACATCACAACGAGAAACTGAACTATTCAGCACGAATTTAGACGAAGAGCAACCTGTTTTACAAACCCAAACCGAAACAAAGGCTGAAATAGTTCCGTCTTCGTCCTCGGACGTTTTTCTGCTCCTTCTGATTTTTCCAACCGAACAAATTCACTGAGCGATGTAAGGCATGACAACGAAGCCTGACGTTCCATTCAGGATGATATTATCTTCTTAGATTACCGCTAAACTGGTGGGGCAAATCTTAGTACCTCTCACTGTTCAAATATTTTGTACAGAAAACGCGACAAACGTACTGCACAGCACATGGTTTCTTACAAATTGAACTTTCAGGGAGCAGTTTCTGCTACTCATGACGGTGCACGCTCTCTAGCTGGAGCACTGTATCTGTTTTCCGGTACCAACCGTCTACTGGTGTAGTTGCAATGTACTCGCTTCACACACACACACACACGCACTTTATGATGTTTCAAAGTCCGGGGAGGTAGAGGACATGAACCTCTAATCCTTCAGCTGTAACACCCTTCCGGTGCCTAGCTGCCATGCTACTCGAAGGAGCACGAGGGCTGGGATACTGCCAGGTTGCCCAAGCCTAGACAGGGGAAGTCGAAATGCAGAGGTCGGGTTCGAACCACAGACCTTCCGGTTAGTAAATTCGGACTCTAACCACTTAAGCCATCTCGCCCCATACTCACGAAAGTCAAATTTACTACTCCGTTGTTCTGTGTGAGTTATCCAGGTTGAGTGTGCCAGGAAAAAAGATCTACATACAGGTGCTACCTTTGAAAGTTTTTACAAGTTTTCTGAACATATTTCTTCTTCAGATAGAAGCAGACACTAACAGCATAACTCTACGAATTAAATTGACATTTATCCACCGCTGTGGTAAAAAATCATCATCATCATCACACTTATCCCGGACAGATATAAGTCATGCTAACTTTTCTGTAGAACCCTCAACATCACCAGGAGTCTTGTTATCGTTAATTTTTTTCCTCTTTAGAAAATCATTCAGTGAACTTTCTACTCCACTATTTGGTCTAGGAATGTTTGCTACAATTCACGTCGCAAAATTCCGTTTTATCACTCAGGCCCGAAAGCGGACGAGTTGCCTAGAGCTTGTGAAATCAATATTTGCTACATTGTATGTCAACCGATTGGTATTTGTCATTGCACAAAGGATCAATGACTTGACTGCAACAATGTTGGAGGTGACAAATGTGGACAATTTGAACGTCACCGGTGCTTCCTAACAACGTGTTTTGCAGTATAAACAAGCAAACCTGAAAACGTAGCCACCTCACACGGTGTGAATTCAGCCAACACCGAAGATAGGGTTAGGTCATTCGTGAAGGGCCACACAGAACTCCCACACTGCACAGTCTTGGCTTCACTTTGGCTGCAG